CCTTCCTTCCTTCCTTCCTTCCTTCCTTCCTCTTGTCCTTTCCTTTTCCTTCCTTTATTTCTCTCCTTCCTTCTCCTTTCTCTTCTTTACTTCCTCTTATCCTTGCCTTTTTCTTCCTATTGTCTATTTCTCTCTCCTTCCTTTCTTCCCCTTGTCCTTTCCTTTTCCTTCCTTTTTTCTCTTTCTCTTTCTTACCTTCTCCTTTCTCTTCCTTCCTTCTACTTGTCCTTTCCTTTTCCTTCCTTCCTCTTTTCTATTTCTCTCTCCTTCCTTCCTTCCTTCTTTTGTCCCTCCATCCCATCCCTCCAACCAACCTACCTTCTTTCTGTCATGTTATTTTATCTATCTCACAATCCTGGAATCAAAGGGCTGGGAGGGACCTTAGAGGTCTTCTAGTCTAACCCCCTGCTCAAGACCTCAGGCCACTCTTGACAAAGGACTCTCCAAACTCTACGGACCCTAAATAAACAGCCCAGGAATTTGTAATCCCTGTTTTTTATCCGGGCCAGGCCAGACCTCGAGGCACAGGGAGGCAACGCGGAATACAGGCAGGGAACGGTGGTCTGAATTTGAATCCAGAATCCGCGAAAGTCCTTCCCATGGATTCCCTGGGGGGGGGGCAAAACCCCCCCGGTCTTCCGGGGTGGTCCCGCCCCGCCCCCCCCCCCAACTAACCCCTGCAAAAGCCACCTTACCATTTAAACAGGCTTCGTGGAGGGGCGAGGCGATGTACAATGGCGGGTTGACCTTGGCCCCATGCGAGAGGAGGACTTTCACGCACTCGATGCTCCCCGAGGCACAAGCGTCGCAGAGCGGGGTGCTCCCGTCGATGTTTCTGGCGTCCACCTGTGGCAGAAAAGGAGAAAAGCAGAGGTGGGTATTCAGCCGGTCCTGGAGAACCGGTAGCGTAAATGTTGAGTGGTTCGGAGAACCGGCCAATCCCACCTCTGACTGGCCCCGCCAACCCCATCTCTTCTCCGCCTCCCATCGAGTCCCAGCTGATCGGCTGGATCTCCTTTGGCTGCCCTGCCCAGGAGAACGGAGCTGGAAAGCAGGTTAGAGGGGTGGAGAGGGAATGGAGATTTTGCAGTAATCTTCTCCTGCCATGCCCACCAAGCCATGCCATGCCCAAGCCACGCCTGCCACACCATGCCCACCAAGCCTCCTTCCTTCCTTCCTCCCTTCCTGCCATCCATCCTTCCGTCCTTCCCTCCCTCCCCTTCCTTTCTTCCTCTCCTATTTTTCTCCTTCCTTCCTCTCTCCACTCCTTCCCTCAGCCTCCTTCCTTCCTCCCCT